TTTTACATTGATTACAAATATAAAACTATAAATGTTTAAATGTATAAATTTGTTAGGAAATTATAGTTGATCTTCTATTTATTGTTATATAAATTGTAGGTTCTATTTTATAGTCAGTATTTAGACTAAGTGCTTCCTTCCTGCTAAATATGTGGTTTTATATTTATCAATTTTTTTAATAAGGACATTAATTTCTTCATTTTACTTATTTTATTATTCTCAAAGCAATTATTAGTTAACTTAAAATTGATTAAATTATTAGCAGAAAAAACTTACATTTTTAATTACCACTAATTTCAGAAAGAGCTTCTTTCATCATATTGTCCTGGATTGTCCTCATGGTCTGACATTTCTTCAAATACCATGTTTCGTGTGGCTGTTTTCGACGTATGGAAATTATATATTAAATTTGTTACTTTGTTTAGAGATGAAATTTGATCCTGTATTTTTGTTATATAGTTTTGAATTTTCTCTGTTTTAACCAATATTTCAGTTAAATGCTTTCTTGCTGCTATTCCTTTCATTTTATATTTATCGAGTTTTTTGATGAGGGTATCTTGTTTCTTCAATCTGATGCTTAATTCTTTGCTATTCATCTTTACGTACTTGGTGATGATTGGTTTTATTCGGTTGTTATAATCAGTTTCACTATTCTCCAAATAATTCATAGTGTAATCAAAATCATTTGTATTATTATTAGAAAAACTTACATTATCTTCATTGTCACTAAGTTCAGGTGTCTTTATTCCATTATCTGCTTCTCTCTGGCTCTCTTGGTCGGAAACATATTCATATTTTATGTTAGGTGTTGGTGTTCTGTTCATATTTGAACCAAAATTTCTAAAGCCAATTGGCATCACATTATCACAATTTCCGTAAAATATAATAGAGTTTGAACTTTCAGTACACTTAGGCACAATAATATTATTATGAATTTTGATGTTTTTCTGACCTACTGATGATGTCATGGTTGTAAAATATAACTTATAATAATTAAAAATAAGCAAGACTGATATATTTATAATATATTTTCCCACTATAAACTTTTTGGTAAAATGTGTAATTAAAGGTGAAAGTGTATTTCTAAACCACACCTTTATCTGATTTTTGTTATTGAGTACATGGTTTACAGGATGTAAATCCCTTTTGTGTATTTTTGCAGACATATACAATTACTCCTATCCATATATAGTATTAAAAACATATTTTTATTTTTATTTACATTTGCTGACTACAAATGATTACTTTCATTATTAATATTAAATATGAGACTAGTTAACCTTCACTCATTTTGGCATCTGAAATAATGAAATTTCCAAAATATTAATTATTTTACTTCATGTGTGCTGTATAAGGGCAGAACATACTTTAAATTATAATCCTGTTTGCAATTATTTTATACAAGTATCCATATTAGTAAAGTGAAGAATGCATAAATTTTAAAAATGATTTTCTTTAAATTTCTTACATGGCCTAATATGATAATTTAAATTGGATTATGCACCTTCAATTTTTCCAATTAGAGTTTTAATAATGAAATACAGAAATAGCAGATGGTCAATCAAGGTTTTTTTTGTGTAGATGCTTTTAAATCATTAAAATAAAACAATGTGAAAATAGGTTATTAAAATTGATTATACCTACTTATGTTTGAAAACTTTTATTATATATAAAAATTGTTACAATACTTATTATATATTTTTTAATTTATTCATACCAATGCCTAAGAAAAACATAAACATCAATAATATAAAATTACATTCAAGTTAACAAACGTACAAATTTTTACTTAAAATTTCTTACTAAACAAAAGTTGTATATTTCCAAATATTATTCAAAAAGAACAGAAGAGTTATATTCAATTTACAATTTAAAATTATGTACAACACTGGTTATTTTGTTTAGAGAATTTATTCCTGAATTTAAATTTTCTAGTGCATCTTGAAGGCTTTGTTTTTTTGCACTAATATGCGATAACACTATCTTAGCCTCATCTTCTTTTTTACTATATTTTTGAATTTTTTTTGTAAGCTGCATTCGTTTATTTATTCTTTGGCTTAATATTTGACTGCTTAGCCTAACAAAATTCTCTATTATTGGTTTTAGCCTTTTCTGATATCCCTGGTTTTTGGATTCTGTTATTAAGTCAAATGTTTGGTTTACATCCATGGAACTATCTAAATGGTTGAGTATGTCCTCGTGGCTTCCATCAAGGTTTATTGACTCATCAATCTCCTGGTTGACCATTTCTTCGTTTTCTTGACTGGAGTTTCCATCTTGGTTGTTATCAACTAGACACATTTGTTTTTCTAACTCGTCATCACTTTCAAGTTCGTTTTTGACACTGATAGGTGTTGACTCAAATTGTACACTTTTTGCAAATCTTTTGTAACCAATTGGTTTCACTTTACTTAAATCACCCAAAAAAACTAGAGAATCTGAACTTGAATTCAAACTTTTGTTTTGATTTAACTTAATATTGCTAATGATGTTTATGTTTTTCTTAGCTAGTGGCATGATGATTTTTAGAAATGAATTGATAAATCCAACTCAAACTAAGTATTTATATTATCAATTGCATATAAAAATAGAAATATGATTTAGCCCCTATATGCACAAAACAACATAGGCCTGAAGGTCCCCACTCATACCAACCCATATCCAATATTCTCTCATATGCTACAAATGGACAGCTGCAACAAACAGGTTTGTTTGTATCCGGACTGCTCTCATGCCAACCCCATATCCGATATTCTATATGCTACAAATCGACAGGTGCAACAAACTGGTTTTACAAATCAACAGGTTTTAAAAATTGACAGGTGCAATAAACCGGTTTGCTTGTATCCGGACTGCTCTCATGCCAACCCCATATCCGATATCCTCCCATTTCCTATCTACTTATTTAGTTTTATTACCATATATAGCACTTTATTAGAAATCGCTTAGAATTTAGTTATCAAGCTTTTAATTCTCTTATGTATGTACCAAAATGCCTACGATTCCTATACCTTGTTTATTTTTTAACTTGTGTTAGTACAAAGTGTGCACTGATTTAGTAGAGTCGTTTCTTTAGCTTTAATCCATGTCTCGCATATGCCTACTATGTCCCATTTTATGGTCCTAAGTTCTTCTTGCAACTGTTCTAGAATATCTTCTGTCCTCATCGTTCTGATGTTATATGTTCCGATGTGGATTTTGTGTGTACTGAGCGAATTCTTGCCTCCCTCAGATTTCGCGAGGCTGTGGGATTTGGCATAACACACTCCACCCACCTGGAGACTGTTTCTGTCTGAAACACCACGCTGCCTAGACGGATTGGTGAGTTTTATATTAGCCGCCAACTCTGGGTCAGACGCTGCTCTTAGCCATCCATTCTGGATCAGACGCTACTGTTTTGATTCTATATTAACCCTATAATTAAGAATTGCCACTTCCGCTATCCGCACCGTACCGAAGCTCCGCCGTGGCTGAGTTTGTCATCCGTAACCCTGGACAAGAGACCCTAAACAGGTACCAGCTTCCCAAGTCAGGCAATCCCCGAAATCTAAGGAGGGCAGGAATAAATTTATTTTCCCTGATAGGACTATTTTCTAAAATTTAAAGAGTTCCTACCCGCTACCCCAATTGTTGTTTTTTTTTTTTAATTCTTGTACTAATTATCCTCAGATTATTCTCATATAGGCTTTTCACTAGAGATGATAGATCATCAGTTCTTCGTATATTTAATGATAATTTGTTTAACATTGTTGATAGACCTTTTTAAATAATAAAAATGTCATCATCAACTTTCGGAATATAATGTTTATTTAATATTGTTCTGAAGCTATTTTCTTGTGGCATTGTAAATTAATTTCTATTTATAACTGGGAATAAGCCACATTAAAGATAAAAATACATTTATTGACGTTTCAATTTCCAATTCGGGAATCGTTCTCAAAATACAAATAGTAAATTTAAATTTACTATTTGTATTTTGAGAACGATTCCCGAATTGGAAATTGAAACGTCAATAAATGTATTTTTATCTTTAATGTGGCTTATTCCCAGTTATAAATAGAAATTAATGTTTATTTAAATTAAAATTTTCTGTCTACTCAGAATTTAAAAATTATTTAGTATAAGTAAAAACACAAAATAAAATTAAAAGTTTTGTCAGTGTACATCGGATTTGAAATAAGCTAGAAAGAAAATGTAATTTAGCTTCCATATATATCCATGGATGTGACTGTCCCTCGGGAGACAGGATATCTGCTGGTCACGCCGATCCTGGGACATAAATGGCGCGCTTCATGGTGTCAGATTGGCCTTCGTTATACCTGAGGGAGAATGGCGTATCTCCATTTTTTCGATGCAACATTTAGTCGATCGTTTTGTTTTCCAACCAACTGACAGTATTGTGAATTAAATATGTTTATAGGGTTACGGAGCTACCCGTGTTTTGCATTTGTAAAAGGATTTTTCAGCACATGTCAACTGTAAAAATAAATAGTAAAAATATGTGATTATATATTTGCATATATAAACGTTTGTATATTCAAATATAATACATATATTATATATTAAAATACAAAACGGTAACACTGGAAGATACCTTTTATTTCAGTAAGGAAGTAGGGTAAAGTAAAATATATTCGTGATAATTATAGGTTACCTATTTAATTAATGCGGTTCAAAGTTTTAATTTTATACCGTAAAAATATTACCAAAAGTGAGATTTATCAGTCAGTAACAACTTCAAGTTACTATTTTATGTAAAATATTATAAAGTTTAATAATTTATATATTGTTAACAATTTTATTTTGGTAAGATAATTTTTACTAAAAATGTATTCATTTATTAATTTAAGGTTTAATATTAAAAATTCATTTATTAGGTAATTACTGACACATCAAAACACAATTAGAATTCTTTAACATAAGAAAAGTATATCCATATTTTAAAAAAATAAAACAAAACTAAATTAATTAAAAACAAAAACAGGTGGTAGAACAATAACTTAAGCTTCTTCATTAATAGTGTCGTCATTGTTTCCACACATGTCGCATATAAAAACGTCGTCTTCGACATCAGACGATTGGCACATAACATGGTACGGAATCATGCAGTAGGAACACTGGACCCATTTGGCACCATTTTTTCTTTTGACATCTAGTGAATAACTATTACCACACATTCCACAGTGCCAGTCATTATCTTCAGAATCCATTTTCTTAGGTTTTTGATTAGTTAGGACTAGAGCACAGGATGATGACCTGATGGTGCATGAATTCGTGAAGAAGAAACAACACTTTCAGGATTGAGGCCTAATATACATGCTGATGACGTAGATGCTGTACCGTTTATTGAAGAAGGCACAACACTTTTAGAATTAAGGCACTTTGCTCTTGAATCGCTTTTCTTTCTATTCGGATTTGCAGCAACTGGCTTTGTTGGAAGAGACAATATGTTGCCAAATGGATTTTGTTAAGTAGGAGCTCCTGCACATTGATTGGGTATATCATTAGAAGTGAGTAGAGAAGGTACAAAGGCTTCCTTAGGAATGACATTTCTATCAAATGGGCATATCCCAGATTTTCTGAACGAATTTGTAATGTTTAATGCGGAAAAATTTGTGTCTGATTCGGTATGGTGTGACAATTTATTACGCTTCTCTGCATTATCTTTTATATAAGCATTTATGCTTTTGGCCCAATGACCCTTTAATGACTTATAATTAATTACCTACATCAAGTAGCTTTAATAGATGGCTAGTATAAGCCAGAAATGTAAATAAACAAACACTATTTTGAGATGCAAGAGATATACTTTCCAGATTGATGTGTGATGCGTGGGAATCCAATAATAAAAAATTTCTGGTCGGACAGAGGAAATTAAGGCAATAAAGAATTGAAACCACTCCAAAAAGATCTCACTGTTGATCCATCCTATTGGAAAAAGTTTACTTGTGTATTTGTAGGCAATCTTTCTTTAAATTATCGTTACATCGAACCCCTTTAAAACTATCAACGATGCAATCCATGTTCTATTGGCACAAATACATTCCATCATGGTTTGAGATTCGACTCTATCTGCATATGCTCTTTTGTAGACATAACGTTTTCCAACCGAGGTAATGACTTACTTGGTTTAACCACATAAGTTATTCTGGTTTCATTGCAATTCCACAGACGATCGGGATTATTCTGTACTCTAAGTCTAACCATTAATGTTTCTAATTTTGTATAAAAATCCCCAGTATGTCATTATTTGACAGTCAAAAGTACCAAACCTAGAAATAAGAAGAAGAACAGAAGTCACAGATGTAGTTGAAAAAATAGCCAGGGCTAAATGGGCTTGGGCCGGACATGTTAATAGATTAATGGATGACAGATGAACCAAAAAGATTCTGGAATAGCGACCAAGGCAAGATGCATATCGAAACAGAGGACGACCACCGACTAGATGGACCGATGATATCAAGTGCATCACCACAAACTGGATGTAAGAAGCTCAAGACAGAAATAGGTGGAAAATTTTACGGGAGGCCTACGTAGGCAAATTGAAGGTGAAAACATAGGCAAATTGATGGTGATGATGACTCTATAAAACGCCTTTATACTACTCAAAAAGTATAACTATTAAAACAAGTAGAATATTACTATTAAAACAAACTAAAAACGATACACAGATTGATGTGTAAGATTTTAAAGTCTTAAAAATATTCACGCTCTTTCCCGCACAAATTAACAGCTCGAAAAAGAACCAAATTAAAACAATTAAAAACAGTAATTAAAATCTGAATGGCAGTGGAAGCAAATTAAAAAATAAGCCAAGGTGATCTGAAGTGCACGACAGAGTAATCTGATTGAATTTGATGCTCAGTATTCAAAGGAAGGAAAGTTTTTAATAGAGTTTTCGACTCGAACACAACTTTACAAATTCAAGTTTGTTGTGCAATTACTATTTACCCTAACCTAGTTACAAAACTAATTCCAGATACCTAGCGTTTATTTAAAATCTTAAGATCGCTGATCAGCTTAGCTCTACCAGATATATCGAATGGTGTTGAGCTCATGTTAATTAAGTTAGTAAGTTTGGAAATTTGATTCTACGCATATTATTATAACTTATATATTAAGTTACAGGAAAATATTTAATTTTAGAAGACAACATTTCACAATTAAGCTTAAAATTTCTGAAGAGCTTAAAAATGTTTTAATATTAAATGAAATTTATTAAAAGCTTAAAAATAATTATAAAATTGAGTCATCAATATAAACTGCTGGATAAAATTAACGCACCACTTTAATTGAGGCTATGAAAGCAAGACTGGTCTAACCAATATTTCGTTGATAATTAAGTTATAGATTTCAATCACTTCTAACGACCTAAAGTTTTACACCAAAACCGGTTTAACCAACATTTCCGTATATTATAACATAAATCTCTCCAGTAAGGTGATTTTGCATTATAGAAAATAACAAAAATTTGAAATCACGAATGGGCTAACACACGAAGTTGTGGAATAGACCAAAATTGTTCAATACATAAATACGTAAAAAAATATAACAGTGGGTTAACCATCCTCTTTGTAGAACAGACCAGGAATCCTTTATAACTTTTACAAAGAAGAACATACTAGTAATCCTGTCTCATTCCACATATTTTGAAAAATATTTAATATCCAATTTGATATTGGATTCCATGCACCAATTACGTATTCGTGCAAAAAATGTGATTTGTATAACAATAAAATAAAGTTCTCAACAGTTCAAGCAGAAATACATGAATTTGAAGTAACACTAGAGGTTAACCAACGAAAAGCAGAATGTGCTAGATGTGATATGAAACAAGATGCAGAGTATGCAAAACAAAATCCTGAAGATTTTATTTTATCGTGTGGCAGTTACAACACATTTAGAACAAAATTACAAACACTAGTAATATAGGTATATGACAAACTTTAAATAGTTGCAAACAAACATCAAGTGTATTAACATCATCAATTGACTCTGAAGTTGCAAACTTGAAACTTCTGAAAAAGTCTTTAGGGCTACCATTGTAGGATCTTGAGGGACACTCTTCAATAATGTGGTCGATCGTTTGGTTCTTCCCAAGGTCACATTGAGGAGACGGATTCTTTCCCCATTTATGTAGCATATATACACATCTGCCATGTCTGGTTCGAATCCTGTTTAGAGTGGACCATGTTTTGCGTGGAAGATTAAAACCTGGTGGCTTGTGGGTAATTCAGGGCATGTTATTTTGCCATGCATTCCATTCTTGGGACCATTCGAGATGTTGAACTCCTCATGTATCATTCTTGCCATTTTCATTGGTGGTTTTCTAGAACGTAGACGGGTATTTCGTGCATCCTCGGTATCTTGGTGGATCGGCAGGTTTATATTGTTCATGATCTTTTTGTATTCACGTGTAAGTGCGTCAACTCATCGTAAATGTGGAGGTGGAATGTAACTTAATAATGGAAGCCATTGGGTGGGAGTTGATTTAATTGTACAAGCTATCATCCTCATAGTACTGTGCAGCTGAGTGTCACCTTTTTTACGTGTGGACTGTGTAGTCAAACTGGGGCACAATATTCAGCGGTCGAGAAAACAAGGGCTAAAGCAGTAGAGCGGAGAGTAAAAGCCGATGCTCCCCAGGTGGTACCGCAGAGCTTCTGTATAATGTTATTTCTTGTACTCAATTTTTGGGCAGTTTTTGTTAAATGCTCTTTAAATGATAGCGTTCTGTCTACTGTTACGCCCAGGTACTTCGGTGTTTTGTTGTGGGAAAGTGTGGTATTTTCAAACAGTATGTTGCATTCCTTTCCAGCAAGTTTATTGTTCAGGTGAAAGCAATTTACTTCTGTTTTGGATGCATTTAGTTAAAACCGCCACTTGCGAAAATATTTGCTCAATATATATAAAGTCTGCCATCAGAACTTTTCGTCAGATGTTTCTAGTGTTCTGCATCGTGTAGTGAGGGCCCAGTCATCGGCGTATCCGAACTTTCTTGATTGTGTTTCTGGCATATCTGCTAAATATAAGCTAAATAGTAATGGAGAGAGCACTGACCCCTGTGGTAGGCCATTCTTGAGTATGCTATCTATTAAACGTGCTATTTGTTTACAGGGGATTGCACGGAGAATTTTGTATATAAGCCCTCTCTCCATACTGTATCGTAAGCTGCCAAGAGATCAATAAATGCCGCTGAAGTTTTAAGTTTTCTTTGGAAACCCGCTTCGATGTAGGTGGTGAGTAACATTCCCTGGTCCACGCAGCTTCGTTCTGGTCGAAAACCCGCTTGTTCGACTGGAATCACCTGGAACAGTTCTGTACTGATTCTATTATATATATATAAGCCTCTCTAATAGTTTGTAGATGGCAGAGAGAAGCGCAATTGGTCTGTAGTTTTTTGGGTTTTCAGCGGGTTTGCCTGGCTTTGGTATGGCTATTATCTTAGAGCGCTTTAGTTCTTGTAGGATATTTCCAGTTTCCATGATGTCTGTGAAAAATCGAGCCAGCCAGACTTTTGTATACTTGCCACAATTTAGTAGGAATTCAGGGTGAATATTATCAAATCCTGGTGCTTTTGCTGGCTTAACGTCTTTAAAAGCCTCTGATATGTCTTCGCTGGTGAAGGGGAGGAAATGCTCCATTTCTGTAGCTATATGTTGTAAAGTTTTAAGTTCTCTCTTTATTGTGTGCTTGTGTGTGTGCTTTATCCTTTGGTGCCCTGGATGTTTTTACTATATGTGATGCTAAGGCATCTGGCTTTACGGCTGCCTCTCGGCGTTTCGTACGGACACCATTTCCTAATTTTCTTAGTAACGACCATGCCTGTCTGCTTGATTTATGGAAGTTTAGACTTTCTACTGTTTCGGTCCACTTTTGGCTTCTAACGGCGTCTAAGCTGTACAGTAGTTCATTCGCTATTTCTTGGTCGCCAGTTTCAAGAAAGCTCTGATATAGTTCCTCGCTATTTTCTGACCAGACAGGAATATATTCTTTGCGATATCCTCTTGGTATGTGTTTTTTGGCTTATGTTTAAAATAATAAAAAATTCCAAAATGGTTTACATTAACATCCAGCAATGCAAATAAAATTATTGAAAAGACTTTTGGGTATTTTAACTTGAAAGATACCAACTAACAAACATGGAAAAAATTCTTCGTTTTATTTTTAAACTATATATGAGGGGATTTCAATATATTACATATACGAG